TTGTGAGACAGGAAAAGGAGAAAGGTTAGTTACATGTAATGACTTGCAAGGATTCTGGGACATGGTGCATATGGAGATAGAAAATTGATTACCTTTCGTCTCCGTTCTTCCGTTTGTATTTTCTTCTCCTTTAAGATTTCATTAAACTGTTTTCTTTCTTGCGCTTGGGTGGCGTTTTTGGTCTTCTCACGTTACTAAAAAATGAGTTTCCGCTTTCAGGTATGTTGATAAGAGCGACGAACTTCAGAAACTCAATTACGTCCTATGTATTCTTTCCCACATTTCTATATTTGTGCAATTTCTCATTGTCGATGTTAAAATTTACAAATGACATAATATATATAAATATTGAGTTATTTAATTAAAAATTTAACTTATTTCTTCACGAGATTTCGTATGAAATAAATTGTCTAAGTTTAAGAAAATAAAATTAGCTGAGCTTTGCCTCGATACTGTCGCGAGTATCGCCGTTAAATCACTAATTCAAGTTCACCGACGCTTGTTCCGATATGGGTCGCGATCGATGTTCAAAATAAACAAAACTCAGAAGTCAGAAGAATGACAACAGTTCGATGTAGGTAATGACAACTGTTTGAGAATTATCGATCAAATAGCACAGTATACTGTTACTATTCAAAAATGAATTGATTCACTAGGATTGCATATATTAATCGCACATCGAGAATAAATTAACTGATCACATAATTCTTACTAATAACTGTAATTTGCCCCCAGTTCAAATCTGATAAAATTTGAAAAATATATGTTTATATTTTGTGACCTTATTTCTTTAAAATCCGTTTTGTTTCAAATGGATTGTGGTGGCTTTTTACACATGGAATGGTCGGAACAGGCGTACAAAGGTCGCCGCGTTTGGTGATTCAGGTAAATTTACCGCTCGCGCAAATCCCTCTTCTGTAACCTGCAAATCTTTCGTACAATCTTCAAAACTTCGTAAAGGTTTCATAAGTTTGTCGCCGAAATTTTCATTCTCGGTGGTATATTCAGGACTTCAGTAATGGTGTAACCGTAGGGACACCTTTGGCAACCAGTAAGCAAGAATATTTTTAAATATTTGAGAAACGGTTAAAAGTATAAGTTGTAATAATGGTTGCAGCTTGTTGCATTTGTGGCGAGGAGCGTTCAATAAATTCAACGCGTACATTTCACAACTAAGTGAATTAAAAGTTCATAGAATTGAAGATACGAATATGAAGACTTGATTTTGATGAACTTCGTCCCCCTCCGATTTTTATGAAACTTCGTATGTCTGCTAAGCAGTCAAAAATGAGGGATACGTATTTTTTTTATCGGCTGAGACGCGACTTTAATGGGTGAAACCACCCCTCAAAGTTTTGATCCGAAATTTTTTTGTTATAAACAAATTATATTTTGGACAATTTGTTAGCACCATATTATTCTACATAAAAAAACCGCAAATCTCGTCCATAGAAGTTTTCATGTATCTCCTCTGGTTTTCGAGATAGTATTTTCGGGTCGAAACTTCGAGGGGTGGTTTCACCCTTTAAAGTCGCGTGTCATCAAAATTGGAGGGGGACACTTCCAGACACTTCCGTGCCTTCCCTTGTTAGAAGTCATTCTCATTCTACATTTTTGCCCTTCAGTTAATGCGTAGGCGTTCTCCACTTAGTTATATTAGAAAAAGATGCCAACTCCTCCGAAAACTATCTACTATCTACCTCTTTCTAAAGTTGAAACGTCCGTTTCAGGCTGTCGCGCAGTCTACATATATGTATTTGTATGTAATAACTACATGCATGAATGCCTCCACTACGATCGTAAGATAATCCCCCACCAACAGCCCCATTAAAAAGAAAAGCAGCTGCTCTAGTTATTGCCCTCGCCCTCTTATGTCGACTTCATCCCTACCATAAAATCATATTTATCCCTTAACCTTAAACTGAAGCATCGGATATTTTTATTCCCGTCAAATCATATATGTAGATACACGCAATATGAATGGAATATATAACTTCACTTGTGCACTTCATTTGTGCTAATAATACTCAGAATTCATGCTTTATCGGTAACGTCGGGTATTGACACTAAAATGGTAAGGGGGCTTCCGACACCTTCGAAGCATGGGACAGAAAATACATTGCATGTAGGATATTCATATATCTCGTCTGTGATTGGATGAAATGCCGGTAAAATCACAAGCTTTTTAAGGTGCTGGTATTACAGATTTCTTGAGCTATGAAATCCCGACGGATATTAGATTTACATTTATAGATTTACGTTTATTTTTGATTTCTTAATAACAATGTCGTAAAAGCACTAGCAACAATCATAGATGTTTATAGCCCTCTGACGATAAATTTAAGAACTATTGTTACAAGTTTGTAGCGTCATCTACGATTGTGACAAGTTAGAATTAAATCCGTTTCAAGCCCAGGATGATACAGCCAAGCTGGTGACGGGGAGATCTGTCGAACAATTCGCGCTCGGTTGAGTGTTAAAAAACGGGAGGGAAAGTGAAAGGTGCGTGTGTTATTCAATATATCGGCGAACGTGTTGAACGAAATTTCGTTTTCAAGAAAGCATAGCGGCGAAGAGAAAACTACTGTAAAATGCAGTAAGTCTTTTGACCATTTTCTGGTTCTGAATCCATTGTATATGTACATATGTAAATGCGCGTCTCTGGTATCTAACATTTTCAGTGTCACGTAATTGTCACATTTAATTTTGCAACGGTCGCCAACTTGTTGATGGAATTTTTTTGAAGTCTGGTTATTATCGATTTCGTAAACGCAATCATTTTTCTCCGCAATTCCATATGCAGTATCCTCCATCTACAATTTCGAGAACGCTTTGTTAAACCAGTTGTGTTTTCGTTTTCATTGTGTCGCACAACGTTATGTATGTGTGTACACAGCTGTGAAAAGTAATTGTACGATAAATTGGTTTGGCGCGCTCAAACATTTTCTACATATTTCATTTTTTTTGAACACGATTCAAATTCCGTCGAACCTTGAATACTGTACGAAGAGAATTAATCTGAATGCGGGTTAACGCAAATTGTTTATCGAGAAATTAAAGTAATGTCGCGATTGATACGATTGTATACATATATTTAGGTACGCGTTGAATACCGATGTAGATGCTTTAACTAATGCATTGTTTGCGTAAGTGATTTAATTTTACTTCATGAAGGTAGCAAATATAATGTAGAAAAAAGGACGTAAAAATGTGACTACTTTTTTTTAAGTGGTAAGAACATTTCTAAGTTACTGATGCAACATTGTGATGTATTTGTACAACAGAAAACTTTGGATATTTTGAGATAATATTTTTTCTTTTTATACTATAAATTTTTTTATGATAGAAAAATTGTTTGAAATATACAATGTATTATTGTGTATAAAATTATCTGTGTTGTAATTACTTTTTCCATTTATTGTAATTTTGAAATATTCAGTTCTTCACTGAATTAAGTTATTACTTACTGTGAAAATAATGTAAATAGGTTTGAAGTACATACTTCATTAATGTGTTCTAATAAGATACAGTGTAGTTAAAAATTTGTTAAATACCAATATGTATGTATTATATATATGCGATACTTATTATATTAATGTGTTTTATATGTTATTAATGATATAATACATTCAAGGCTGATGCAATGCTATGTTGCAACTACAGTTTATGAATTGCTAATGAACTATTTAGATCTGATTTAGGATTATTCACTATACTGTATGAAAATATTATGACCTTTAGTCCGAGCACTTCAAACAAGTTGTTTTGTCCCTGCAGTGTATTATTCTAATTTTTTACTATATTGTTAGAAGCAGATATTTATCTGTATTATTATTTTATATTTACAGACATGGAGTCATTCTTGGAATTGTTTGATCCGGACAGTCATAAAGGCAAACAGAAGGAAACATGGAATGACTCTGAAAACGAAGGTAATGGAATGTCCGACTGTGAAAATTCAAGCACCGACGACGATCAGGAAGAAAGATTACCACCGGAACCAGAACAGGGCAATGTCGAGTACAAATTGAAATTGATCAATCCATCTAGTCAACGGTTTGAACATCTAGTAACACAGATGAAGTGGAGACTTAGGGAAGGTCACGGAGAGGCTATTTATCAAATTGGTACCGATCAGTTTATCTTCACCAAACCATAGAATATTTATATACTTTTTCATTCACAGCTTCTATAATTTAGTTTTCCTGTGATTAGGTGTGGAGGACAATGGAAGGTTAACAGGCTTAACAAAAGAAGACATGAAAGCGTCCTTAAAGACTTTAAACGATATGGCAGCTAGACTGGGTGCCACAACAAGTATATTACGCGAAAGACTTGCCAATTCTAAAAATAAAGGTATGACCACGCACAGTAACAACAACGAGGAAAGGCGAGTGACGGAAGTGTTGGTGAAAAAATTAAGAAAGGGGGACAGAGAGGATCAGGACAGTATCATTGATCTCAGACTAGCTGTAACGGGTGCACAGGATGCCGGGAAGTCAACTCTCTTAGGTGAGAGGATTTGCAGAGGACATTTAAGGTAGAGAAATATACTTAGAGTTTACTCTACTACGCTTGTCGCTCGTCTAGTTAATAACAATCTAACTGTTGGTATAAATGCTAATCTACCTGCAATGGATATAGGTGTATTGACGCAGGGTGAGCTAGACAATGGTAGAGGAAGAGCGAGGTTGAATATGCTTCGACATCTTCACGAAATAAAAACCGGCCGTACTTCGTCGATTTCGCATGAAATCATAGGATTCGATAGCGAGGGACATGTATTAAATTATGCGGAAATGGCAACCGCTGAAGAAATATGCGAGCACGCTTCAAAAGTCGTGACGTTTATAGACCTGGCCGGGCATCGTAAATATTTAAGGACAACGGTACTGGGTCTAACCGGTACGGTATTTCGATATACCTTAATATATTGGGTTAATGTATAAATAATGGGAATTTATCCATGTGAAAGCAAAACATTTATTTGAACATGAAAACAATTTATTTAATCAACTCTATGCACTTTTCGTTATGTGCTGTGTGACATGTATCACTTGAACAGAATTCCCCATTACTTACGCATCAACCTAACATTAGAAAGTCTACGCTACCGAAATAACTTATAACGCCGTCTCTTAGGATATTCACCTCATCATGTTATGCTGGTCGTAGCGCCGCCTCTGAACGAAGCGTCACAGGAGCATATGGCTCTGTGTCTTACTTTAGGACTTCCGATCTTCATAGTCTTAAATAAAATAGACCTTGGTTTCTGTAGTATCGCAGAAACTATGAATCAGTTAGAGGGTGCGATTAGTTCGCAAGGATATTCCAAACAGTTAGTAAAGTACAACGATAGTCAAATACCGTGGGATTATGAGTCGGACGTGATACCAGTGTTTAATGTAAGTTGCGTCACTGGAGAAGGTCTACAGGATCTGACAAATTTTATCAAAAACTTGTCACCGCATGACGTGAACTCTATGGATTCGGATTCCGAATCCTGTCTGTTTCAAATTGACGAAACGTTTAGGTATTTATTATAGACTGTTGCACGGCAACTTATATGTGGATGTTTACGTTTATGTGTGGTTCTAAAAATGGATACGTTTCTTTTATTACAGAGTAGCAGGCTTAAATGAACCTGTTTTAGGCGGACTTCTGGTGAAAGGAGCAATCGCACCTGGCACCCGATTATTGGTAGGGCCTCTGCCAGATGGGGAGTTCAGTCCTGTCAAGGTCGTCAGTTTACACCGCAACAAAGCGCCATGTTGCTTAGTAAGAGCCTCTCAGAGCGCTAGTTTAACGCTAGCACCGCCGAATAATCGAAGTCCACCCTTGCCTCACCTTCGACCTGGAATGGTTTTGGTGTCATTATGGGACCAGCCACACGCGACACTATTCTTCCAAGTACGCACAGTTGCGTACGTGGCGTTTAAATGATTCTTGCCGTTCGGGCCCACGGCGTGGCCGTGCAACGAGCGGCAGTAATTATTACGTCGTGTTGCGTTTAACTCGAACAACAACACGGTAACTAATTATGGCAATTTTGTAGGCAACCGTGTTAATAGTATACCACGCTACGGCGATATTTTCTGGCTTCCAAACGACAGTGCACGTAGGGAACGTGAGGCAAACATGTATCATTAAAGGAATAATGGACGCAAAGGACAGAGGTCTGCAGACAAACGACACGGCGTCCGTACTGTTTAGGTTCGTCAACCATCCGGAATATCTGCACGTGGGCATGCGACTTTTATTGAGGGAGGGTCGCACCAAGGGAATCGGTAAAATTACGCAGATATTTCCGTTGATCGGTCAACAAAACGGTATGCAATAAACTCAACGAAATTGTCGCGTGTAAAAAGTATTATACGTTATAGGTTGTTTACGAAGATATAAAGCGTTTGGCTATTTTAACGTGATACATAAGTAGAGTACCCGCCTAGTGTAAGTATTTTCAAATTGTCTGTGACTTCTTTGAAGCAATCTTTATGTGCAACTACTTTTGTCAGTGTTGTGGACAAAATATCGCATAGGTTTCTTTGATGGATGTAGATTCTGTACATATCCACGTAGACGTTTAATTTGGTTTCATGTACGGTATTCCTGTTTTATTTCTACCTGGGAAAAAGGTAAAAAGGCTTCACGGTAAAATGTATTTTGGACTGTTGAGGATAATAGCGCCGCGAAAGAAGCTATATAATTTAATTTGAGGAAAAGCAATACTTTTTGTTTCAAGTATAAAAATCAAGATCCTGCTCGATGTGAAAGGGATCTTAATATTTTGAGTTTTATTTATTTTCGTATTAAATATTCCGTTATGTTATTTCATGAAGTCATCGTTCATTACGACCATTATTTCCTGTTACGGAATAAGTTACAGTGTCTCGTTAACGTGATGTTTTGTGTGTGACACTCTAAAAATGAAAAATCCTTTGCGAGAATGGTCATTGTAGCAATGTAAAGTTTGATCAAAAAACTTGTAATCTTTAAGTATTGCAACGTGAAATACATAGAAAAAATATTTTCATAATCGATCACTATCATAGAATGATACGTATCGAGTAGATCGTTTTTCAGTTTACACACTCTTTGACCTGAGAAGTTTCTGTCTATGATAAACATAAAAAAAAGAAGTGATGTTTCTGTTAACTAGAGTTACTTAATTACAAGACGGTTGTACTTATGTATACATATATACGAAATTAAAGTTGTGAAATTCTTAGTACTATTCGAGGCTACGTATACTGTAAAAGAAAATATACGTTGGAACGTTACGTTATATGAACTGTTATACAGCCGTCCATACAAAGATCTTCAATTTATTTCTGTTAAAACAGATTATCGTCTTTGTATTATAGACTGTAACATATCTTGAATAAAAGAACGAAAATTTACATATCTGATCCAACAGGATTTCCTTCAGTTTTGCCTCAAGCTACGATTGGGCATCAGTATCAGCGACTAAGACAACCTGGCGGGTGAATTGAAAAGATTTATTTATCACGATTATGTAAAACAATCTTTTAATAACATTACGTAAGGACTATTAAGATTCGCCTTCATCGGTGCAATATTAAATTGCACGTGGAGTAACGTACGGACAGCTTTAAGTATTAAGAAAAATACTGTTTCGTTTAGGAATACAGATTTATATTTCATAAATCGTTGCAGCTCGATTAACAATGTCGTAGCAGCGTGTAAAGCTTGGATCTACGGAAGGAAGAAGTCAAGGAAAACGATATAAATAAATCATACACAACATCCATGTATCACATACACACACACACACACACGCACGCACACATCATATTGTGCTCTCAACCAGGCAAGTTTTATTCAATCCACGCACGTAAAACGGTCCCCTGATGGTAATCACCCGCATGCCTAACAGTGTCCATGAAAAAAGAAAAGATGCGTAAATATGGTCGAAGCTGTGACGGTAAGCAGTGGAAAACAATATCGATTAAGTAAAAGGTAACACAAGAGGAGGTCTCGATTTGGGTGACAAATGCTAATTATTTACTTAATCTCGAGTATTCTTAAGGCTACAGACAGAAAGGAACAGGAATTATCTAGTTTTATTTTCTAGTAAAGTGTAATACTTAAAAAGGACTTACACGTAGATATTTTTTTTATAAAACAACACAAGCCTGGTTGTGTACAGAGTGTTCCAGAAACTGGCATCGGCTTTCAATCTGATAAAAAAAAAAGCTACAATCCTAAATGAGAACATTTCAGTAAACGCGTATATTGTAAATGTCTCTTTTTCCAATTGTTATTACCCAAAATCTTTGAATGTTACACATTCTATGTTCTACATGCGAACACACACTTCTTAATACATATCCCCTTATAGTAAGACCATAGTGACAAAGGATTAGTAATGCTCCCAAAAAGATAGAAAACATTCTGATTTGTTTTTTTTTTTCTTTCAATGACTTCTCGAGGAACTATTTACGAATTATCTTTCACTAGACTTCCTGTACCGAACTTTAACGCTTCTTACTCACTGATCTGTATACATATTTATATTGGATACGGGATAGGCTGGTTAGCTCTGTGATCATAAGGGGGCTGCCATCTTTGAGAATTAATTGTATGCAATGCCTGACGAGTGTCCCTCGTATTAACTATATTCTACGAAGGTATAAGAATTCTTATACCTTGTCGGTGCTTATAGCTTTTCGAAGGCTTCTTTTCCTCTTTCTTATTCGAGACACGATAGCGTTAAGTTACACGTTTGAGAGATAAAACAGTTATCAGGATGGTTTACTCTAACATCGTATGGACAGATATTTACTCCGTATAAAGACGAGCTGACAGAAACTGCAGAAAAGCTCAACGTTTATATCGCGAGACTTTTTCACAAAGACGATGTCTTAGTAAGGTACATTTTCATTTCGATGCATTGTTGGCTTAGAGAAACTAGATTTTGTTCCACTACGAGTTATGTAAAGAATTAACATGCAACTAAATCCAACACGACTACGTTTAATATAGCTGCGTCAAAGATATAGCGTTAGCCATAAACGTGGCCGACCCTTAAACAATTAGTACTCGATCATCGGGTGATTATTGTGTCCCACCGCATTCAGGGTTGTACTGTCAACTACGGGGTTCCAAGGAATAAAACGAAAAAGACTGGAATATTTGAGAGAAATCTACATTTTCGTAAGCATTCATCAGGACTAAAGGGGTCAGAAGTATTTAAAATCTGAAATTAGTACGCTATAAGACCTTGCTTAATTACATTAAAACATAAAAACCGATCCCAAATTGACGTCGTGCGCCCCTGAACGACGGTCGAGCACAGTTTTTACAACTCAAGGGTATCGAATCACAGGATTAGGCTATCGAACACAAACTTTATGGTCGGTTAGGTTTATGATTAACGCTATATCTTTGAAGCAGCTGTACCAGGGACGCTCGTCAGGCATCGCATGCAATTTATTCTCAAAGATGGCAGCCCCCTTATGACCACAGAGCCAACGAGCCTATACCAAATCCAGTATATGTATACAAATCAGTGGTTCTTACTAGATTCCAAGCCGTGAGGGGAGGGGGGTCGGTTCCTTCTGTCCGGAGACAACGCTGGCACAAAATCCGTTCATTCAGATCGTGACCTCCTACTCGCGAAGAATCCTAGAGGTGATCACTTTCTTCATCAGTCCTCCTCTTATCTCATTTGCACCGTGTCTCTTTCACCAGCTACGTGACCACCGTTGGCGAGTTTGGAGTCGGGACGTTCACCGTGCCCCAGAAGAGAACGAGCCTCGTCGGATCGTGTCTGATGAAGAACAGGAACGGTCGATTCGCCAGGAAACGTTTTTGATTACCGTCACGCTCCAAGATCACGCCGGTCACAGCCGCAGCCTCGGTGCCCTTCTCCGTGATGTCGATCTCGACTTTATGAAGCACGTCGGATGCGTATATACGGGGGTTCACCAGTGTCGCGCTGTTCCTCAGCTCGTCCAGCCCGTAAGGCGGGAAATTCCGGCGTCTTAGAAACTCCAGAAAGTTCTGATCGATCGGCCGGCTTTGCCGTCTGGTCCTTCGCTCCTGGAAACGATACTTGTTCGCCTCGAGATTCACGACCTTCGCGGTACCGTCCTGCGTCCCCTCCACGTTGTACAAGTTCGTTCTCTCGTGAGACGACGGACGTTGCTCGTGTCCCCGTTTCGCCTCGGAATCACGTCGACCCCGGGGGGATTTCCTGATGGAGAATCCAGTGGACCATTGCTCCACGGTGTAACCGTGCGGTTTGTCCTCGTACGTGAAGTAATTCCGCCGCACCACGTGGCCGGTGGTTTTGTCACCCGTGTCGCCGAATCTGTTCTCGAAGAACACCTTGTCGGTGTTCTGATACCGGTTGGACGGTGTTGTCCGGTTCGTCGGTGTACCTGGCGACGTGGCCCTGCCGTTGTTGCCTTGCGACACCAGACTCAAATCGGCGGTCTCCGGATTGAACAAAGAGTGCAGGCCCAGACTGGCGAGCGTCGACTTCAAGCTTAGACTGCTGCTCAGCTTCATCCGCGGCAGACTGACGATACAGGTCTCGTTCTTCATGTTGCCGATCAGACCCTCGATGTTGTCCACCGTCAATTGATTCAGGAAACCGCGCAGCGCTATCGCCCCCTTCGCCGTTGGAAGCATCACGTACATCGACATCTGGAATCGTTACTTATGTTACAAACGAGATACAAGGATAGACCTAACAGGCAATGTAATTTTCTGTCCCATGCTTCGGGGGCGTCAGAAGCCCCCGTACAATTTCAGTATTCTATTCGTTGCTAGCGAAAGTGGGGCATTAATGTATGTATGTATCGCTATATGTATGCAGTCACGGGTGTGTATGTGCTGTGCGTTATCGTAATTCCTGAAATCGGAAACTTTTCTGTAGAGGTGTGCTCGAACTAGCGTGATTTTCGTGGGACACCAAGTCCCATAAGATGTTAGGTCCATTCTTATATCTTGTCTGTCCTTATATTATCTTGAATGTATAAAATCGGCCGTAGGAGATTTTCGAATTGGTAAATAAATACTCCCATAAAAGGGCTACTGACTTGTTCACCCTTGTACGGTAGACCGAGGATCTTCACGCCAAGCTGCTTGTCCTCGTAGAAGGGAAACTGGCCGCCATTGTACATCATGTCGACATCGATCGATTCGTTCGGTTCGACGAAGAATGGTTTTCTAAAGGGTTATCGGACACAAAACGGAATATTTGGTTTTTGGCTACATTTAAAGGTTCGTAGTTTTTCGATTACACTGTCCAACAAATTTTAAGCATAGTTCTGTTTTACAAGATTCATTGGGGGGGCGATAGAGCAATTCTCCTTGCGGATTCGTGCTTAGGACGGGAAATTTTATAACGTTCACCCAGTGAATGTTGCAAAACAGAACTAAGACTAAGGTTAAAATGTGTTGAACAATATTATTCACGAGATGGAATCGTTATGTTATAGCAAGTAAAATGGCTTGTGAGCAGGTGGCGTGGGAATGGTTTTGAACAGAAAGGAAATGAAAAAAGACGAAAACGGAAACAACAAACCTTTTGGTGGCCCCTTCCAAGAAGTGTTGTTTCCATTCTCCATTGAAGTAAAGCGCCGACAAAAGGATGAGGGTAGTCTCCGGGACTGGTGGACCGTTTAGGATACTATCGATCTTTCCCATGGTCTTCTGTTTCACCCACGCGTTGATCATTTCCTGCGTCATCCTTCCGTTTCTGGTAAAGTCGACGTTTATCACCTCGTTCTGGTACACGTCCTGGCTGATTGATTTGAATTGCGAAAGGATCGGATATCCATCCTGGTTTTCCATACGGTATACAAAACGAACCATTAAATACTTATAAATTGCTCGCTTAATTGTACTCGGAAATGAACTGTTCGCGTACGATTTATTTATAAATTGTTACGGGATGAGAATATTCTATATAATTCGGACAGAAATGGTTCGAGTAATATTATCGAATTAACCCTTTCGTTCCCACTGTTGCAAAATGTTAGTATTATGTATTCTGTCGTATCTGTGAGTATATAATAGTTTCTTTTAGTTTTATATAGATTACAGGGCATAAATTTGAATGTCCATTTAATCCTTAAGTAGTCGCATTCAAAATGATCGCATGGAGTTTCAGGATACCCCAATTTAGTATTAAGTTTCTGTTCACTTTCTTCGAAGAATAATGAAATAAAACTGTGATCGTTAATTAAGTATTTCATTATTACCAAAATTCGTAAGAAAACAACTTGACGTAAAATTTAAACATAAAAAATAGTGAAAGAATATAAAAGTATTCTAAAGTAATTTGGCAGATGACCAGATTATTTGTTAAAAAGAGAACCAATCAGATGAACAAAGTGAATTACTGTCTTCGCATTGTTTACAATGAATATTGAAGTGATTGTTGCAAAAAAATTGTTTACATTTGTTGCATTTAGTCATTACGTTTTTGACATCTTTGAAGAAAGAATCTGCTTGAAGTGTGAAGTTTGACATGAACTAGGAAGCTAGCAATGATGCAAGCACGTTCCGTTTAATAAAAGCATTTTTTTTTGTTTCGAAAATACGATGATCCCATGCGACTAATTAAGGGTCAAAAGCTTATCGGTAAAATAAGATATCATTAGCTCTTTGTCACTTTCATTTGCTGAAATTGAAGTGTTGAGCATTGTTACAAATATAATTGAATCTTACAAAACTCTAAATTCTTCCGAAAAGTAAGAAAAATTGTGTTTTGTTATGAATAATAACATTATAGTTCGAATTAATATACATAACTGTGATAAAAGTAAATATGTTGTCAAATGGCATTAGTCAGTTTCAAACTGTTAAAATCTTCTTGTGAATCATTCATGTGTCATCTAAAATTCACAGAAATTACAACAAAATATTTCTTTGGTAATTTTTAAATAATTTGGGAACAAAGGGTTAATTCCCAGATAATATATAACGCCTTGAAAACGCCCATTTTACAGGTATTTTGGGGTCTAAGGCGTCTTTAAGCCGTCTTCAAGGCGTCATTGGGAGTCATGTGCTATCTGGGTTACGGTAAGACGAGTCCAGGGCTGAATGATTAGTCAAAGGACAGTTTTGAGGATTAATCGCTTTACATCAGAAGAAATTGTTAAATATCGCCATTGGTATTGTACCTGGACAAACGCAGCTGTAGCAAAGTTCACACGGGGTCCGCCAGACCCCTCAATCTCATTTTGTAGCTGAGCCAGCATTATGCCAAACATCTGATGGACAACCTCAGACGTCCTTGAGATGTCGACTCCAGCCTCCAGACCGAGGACTCTGGACACCTCGTCGAAAGTTCTGCCCGCAGAACCCGCGAGAACGATCGCCAGGACCACCGACAGGCTGATCGGCGAGAAAACTATGTTGTCCCGTTGCTCGATCATCGAGGTGCCCCGGGTTCTGTAGATCTCCCGTTCGATGTCCAGAGCAAATTTCATGATGCCTTTCACGATGATACCGTTCACCTAGGATTCAGAAAACCATTTCGATATACAAGGTGTCCCATCTAATGTGAGCAACATTCGATATATCACTTGTTTTCGAAGATACAAAGAAATAATGCGAGGGGAAAGTTTTATTTGGTTCGAAGTAGCAAATACTGTGATAAGCAAACAATTTTTCTGAAGGTCATATTTTTTGAAATTTCAAGGTAATCAATGTTTTTTCGTTAACGAGATTGCATATATTTATCAGCGTGGAGTAATAGTTGAAATCAAGACCAATCTAATGGCCTACAATAGTGTGACCTTCGTGTGACCTTGAGTGCGAAAAATCCACAAATGTATGAGAGTATAAATAATAAACTAACTACGATCGAGGGATCATTGGAAAAATGTATCGAACTTGATGGACATTACTTTGGGCATTTATAAAAATAAATTTTCGGCAAATCAAACGCAAGTGAGATACTAAAGGTGCTCATGTTAGAAGGGACATTCTGTATAATATATGTAATTCATTCCATATTAATTTCCTTCGTTTGCGAATTATTTCACCATAGATGATCGAGAGAAAAGGCAAGGTTTCAAAAACGTATTGTTTACAGTTGAAAAACGTATTGTTGTACATACTACTCCTAGCAAAAAGATATTCAATCCAACGAATCCGAGTGATATTAAAGACGATTATTATTATGATATTTTTTTTAATATATAATAACATAAAACATTCCAATTGATATATCATTGACCAGGTGCATACATGTACTAATGTAAATATCCGACGAATCGTGAACGGTAATGTGAATGCTTACGTGATCGTTCCAGTCCAGCAACGGGGTCTCCGTGATTTTTTGACCCATCGGACGTAGAGTTTGTGTGGCCAATGGCGTAGATATTCCCAACATCGTGGCAATCGTTGGGCTAAATTGTGATCCAGTTGGCGCGGAATACGTTATTTTCTGTCCCACGTTTCTGTTCGCGGAAGGCCTTGGCTGTTGTTGAGCGATCGTGTAGAAAAATGGTGGAACCGTGGAGGTCTGCAGCTTCTCGTACTGGTCTGGGTAAATCAGTTGACCGGATATACAGACCAAGAGGCCGAGGAACATCAGCGTGACCGTCATCTTTGAAACGAAAATAAATTGAAAAAAAAAAAATTAAATATTAATGTGTGAATATACAGGGTAGACCACGAAACGTGATCAATTTAGATTATTCTAACCAGATAGCACATGCCGCCTTGAAGACGCTCATTTTACGGCTATTTTCGGTCTAAGGCGCCTTTAATCCGTCTTCAAGGCGTCATTGGGCGCCATGTGCTATTTGGGTATTGGTAGCTGTTCGATCGAAAATTTTTTTACTAAGCGGTCAATTCTTAAAAGTTTAGGCGAGTGTGTTGCAATGATGGACGCCATTTTGAACATCATTTTAATTAAGATAAATGGTATTTTCTTCATGTTTCTTTAGTCTAGAAGAAAAAACATTATTTGTTATGATGTTTGACGAATTCGTCTCACAGTATCTACTAAAACAGCGTTTCTCAAACTGTGGTACATCTACCACTAATGGTACATTATGTTATTTTTGGTTGTACAATTTTTACACAAAATATATTGAACCTTTTTGTTGAAAAATATTACTTATTTATTTGAAAATAATAAATAACTAATATTAAACATGTTCAATGAAACAGGCTCATCCTTCGCATTAATCCTCACCAATAATAAATCTCCTTAATATTTGCTCATGTATTATTACCTACCATTTACTATATTTTATTACAATGTAAAAGTTTTATTTACGAATATAATTAAATAAAATAAATTTTAAATGTTTTATTCTTTGATTAGAAACAGTCCATTTGGGATGTATTGATTTTTAATCGGGAAATGCTTTTATGGTGGTACATATATTTTTTTATTCTTATTTATGTGGTACAAAATTTAAAACGTTTGAGAACCCCTGCACTAAAAGATGGGCGTAACAAAATTATAGGCTTATCAACAAGAAACTGAAGGTGACCTTGAAAACTCTGAAAAAAAATTTGGTATTAATTATCTTAAACCTCTCCTAAATCATGTTATACCAGCTAAAAAGAATTTCGATCCAACAGCTAGTAGTAAAATAATCTAACCTGATCACGTTTCGTTGTCCATCCTAAATATTGATTCACAATACGGATGTTCCTTGAGGAGACGTTTTTCCCTTCTCGATTATTTCTCTTTAGTGTTAGCAACATTGGTCATAAGATAAAGTTGAACTTGTTTATTAGCTAAAGTAGGCAGTTATTCCATGTATAAGAAAATATCAGTTTTAAATTTCTTTTCGTTCATCGTTTGCAGAATATCAATCGCTTCGAGGTCGCAATGGACAAATTTAAAGGAATCGTATGCAGTTCAATTATAATACCACTTTTTAGGAAGCTTATTACATGTTTATTTACCACTTGTATTCATGTTTTGTAAGACAATCTATATAATGATGTGTCCATGTAGTTATCAGCGTAATTATCGTGTTTGAAGGTAATGCCAAGCGGACGTGATGTCCACTGGAATGAGGAAATAATCGAGCTTGATATTGTGTGAGTGTCAACGATTGAACCAGGATTTTCTGCTACTGTCACCGCGAATGTCAGTGATTTTCACGAATGTTTCGTCAGTAATTAAGGTAACGAATTCGAAAATAACTTTAAAATATACATTGCTGGTCACGGTTTCGAAATTATAGATTTTTGAAATTAAAATACACATCATGTAATAATTTCACTCCCGGTTCGAATGTGAATACTTTCAGCAATTATTGTTGAAATACTTAGTTGGTAAGTCTTTTCCAGCGAATGCAATTATTTATACTTATTCAAATTAACTCAGTGAGAAAACCTGCACTTTCGTAAAGTAGCATTTCGAAATATCGTATTTTCATTATTAAATATTAACTAAATCGAGAGTAATTTTAAGATATTAATTCAATTGGGGCAAGAATTTCGAAATTTCATAATACAGTAAATCCTCGATGAGTGTTTGAAAGCTCGTCGTCACTGTCAAGGAGAGGTCATTAGGTGTAAAGCTGACTTTTTCATAAGGTTTAGCACAGTGATAGAGCTTGGAATTCTAAAGTCAATGATATTTGTTTCAGCCATATATGGCCATTAATTTATGAAATATTTAATGTTTAGTGCCGAGAAGTTTTCGAACACTCATCGAGGATTTACCGTACATATTGATTTTATTCGATTTATTTCGAGTTTGTCTAGAATGGACTTCATTTCGTAGGACTTATTCGCTATTCCGAAGCGCATCTTTCATGGACCGACAAAGAATCCTGAAATTTTTACGAACCGGTTTCAATATTTTATCGCTTTCAGTCAGGTATGTCTACGAATTTCTTCCATACGTTACATTGAATAGAGAATGCTAATTTGTTTGACGAATTCCCGAAGTTCGATCAACGGCCTCGCAACAGTAGATTTATTGAACCAGTAAATTAAGCACTCATGCTTAAACACACTACCCCGTATGTACACAGATCTCTTGATTTGGAATCACTATTGCGATAAAAAAACAACAATTCATAAAACACTTCGAGCGAAAAAGTAATTATGTATCGTAAGTAAATATCATTCGAAAACGTACAAACTTTTCGAACAACTAATAAAACATGAAAAATTTTTTGCGAATCATTGTTCGATTCAAATAATGCTGTTTTAACAAAGCTCCATTCATTGTTTCTATTTCGAAGAAAATTCTCTCTACTCTCGTGCTCCTTATCTGCAATCTTTTGCTTCTAACATCGTTCAAAATAATTCTTATCCTAATTTAAATTTCCCTCGAATGCCTGTTTTTTTTTTCCAAACATTCTTTTCATATGCCCATAATAATTTACGACCATTTCATTACGGTACACGACGTTCATAAATAATTCTTCCAAGTTTAGCAGAAGATGCTCAGCAATAAACAGGAGTAGATCCATTTTCCCATTAACTTTCACGATGTATATCGCGAATACGATCAAGTCACGTGATCGGGCCCCAGTGTCGTTGGTACTGATTTTTCTGTACAATCGTGAAACTCGTTTAGCGCTCCTGACCTTCGTCCTTGCAGTGGTCTTTTTTTCGTATACAAGGTAGTAGTCATCGCGCACAACGAGATCCACTTAGCGTGGTGATATCATTTGCATATTACGCCAGGTTATACGGTACTAACGTTCACCGTACACCGTATTTTCCAGACCTAAAAACGTATGCACGATCACAGGATTTCGAGAGTCCGACGAACAGAAGGAATTTTCACGCGAAATCGGACACTTTTTGGAGCAACATTTCGGATTTTGTTGACACTTGGATAGGTTGTAGTGTTTAGTGATATATAAACGTATCTTGAAGGATTTTTGGAAATTTTAAAAATTGTTGTATCTACAACTGGTTTTAGCTTCTACAGCTTACAACATCTTTCAATAAATCATTACTGTTGAACTAACAAACTGACCAATATCAGCTTTGTGGATGCTTATAGTGGAGACATAAGAGTACCTAATAAAAATTGTTTCAGTTGAAAGAAATATTTTTTATCCATTTATTTTGCAATTGTTTTAAAGAATGACAATTTTATAATAGTAGGGTCCAATTATAAAATTTGAAAGGAATTGAGGATATAAGCATATATGTTCTCTTTATGGATAAATTTTTTAAAATAAGGACCCGAAATAATCATTGTACTTCGACGTTGTACAGTTTTCAAGAAATCAATTTTCATGTGGCCAATTTTCAAGAGTCCACATTTTTTAAAACTTGTCTATAAAGGGAACAAAGAAGACTATATCATTAATTTGTTTCTATTTTTTCAATTGGGTCCTACTATTATAAAATTATATTTCTTTAAAACAATTGCAAAATAAATGGATCAAAAGTATTCTTTTCTTTAACTGAAACAATTTTTATTAGATACTCTTACGTCTCCAATATAAGCACTCACAAAGCTCATTTTGGTCAGTTTGTTAGTTAAACAGTTATGATTCATTGGAAAAAGGTTGACGCAATACTTCAAACAACTGTAGAATCAACAATTTAAAAAACGTTCACAAATCTTTCGAGACACGCTTACATGTATATCACTAAAGATTACAACATATCCAAGCATAGAATGTACATATTTCAGCCGATAAGAACTAAACGATGCGAATTAGAACGTTGCGTTCGACTAAATGAACTGCATTCCTGGTGACAATGCCAGTATCCGTCGTGAACACATGGCCCTACGAATTTCATTATCAATAGCTCTTTTTTTTTGTCTATGATTCGTTATCTCCGCGAAAGTTCCAGCAGCAATCGAGACGAGGACCGCAAACTGCCAGCGGAAAACACGTCAAAGTAGGATATGCGAATATTCCACAAGTGTGTTATGTAGTCGGAACGGATCAGTGGCTTCTGGTCTCGTGAATATAAGGAAAAGTGGCGCAGGAACAAATTTCAGAATTTTCTACACGTTCGATTTTTATCATCGCAACAATGCTCACGTATGTTACTGCACAAAAACGCCAGAGAAAGTGTTTGACCTCTCCAGAATTTACAGTCGAAAATTGGAGCTAAAGGAACGATACTTAATTATTGCATACACCAATGGGGCCAAGCAATTATTTCTTTTCAATAGCCCCGGTCAGCTAAACCTGCAAAGCCAAATTTTGTCCAACGCCTGTTTAAGCCCTGTAAATAAATGATAAATGTTGTATAAAAAACCATAGCCATTTGTTTTGGCATTTGATATATGTTCCTGTCAATGCAAGTTGTTTATAGCAAATCTTGCATCAAATTTATAGCCATAACTTTATAAGAGACATTGGACAAATTTTGGTTGACTGGGAGGTTATGGCTGCAAGTTTGATGCAAGATTTTGCTATAAACAATTTGCGCACACGTTGGTAGCATCATAGACAACGAATTGACTTGCTCAGACACTGTTCCCTTTTTGCCCCCAATTTGATTATGTTGCAAGACTTGTCAATTTTGTCAGCAGGCGATGCTTCCAAAACCCAAGCCAAATTTGGAAACAGATGGCTATGGTTTTTTTTTGATAACTTTTGTCATTATTTCCTGACAATTTGCTCGAGACTTGCATACAACTGGTATTAA